AAGAAACGGAATATTTCATTCAAATTTGATTGAAACCCATAGGTCTACTTATCAAGACGTACGCTATGGAATTTATACAATTTTCTTGGCCAAAAATAATAAAAATAATTTACTTTAAAAAAACAACAAAAAATACCATTGAACAGTCGGGTTTTTAACGGAATCATTTTAGTCTCTTAATCAGTGTGTGCATTTGATAAGGTGTTGTGTTGACTAATAATGTATATAATTTAGTTTTTCTAATAGGTATTGGTAGCCTATGTTATTTTAAATGTGTCGGATATTTAGCTATAACTTATTTCTTTGCTTTGTCTAGTAATATCGTTCTACGTGTAGTAAAGCACATTGTATCTTGACCAATAACTATTTTATAAAATATTTTTCTAAAACAAGTATAAAACTAAAAAAATATATAGGTCTATAATTCACGTGTAACGTGTACCACTGACTAGTGGAAGACTAAACGAGTTCACATACATTTGGTCCTAATTTTTCAAATGCAAATATAATAGAGACAAATGGCAAAAGTTGTTTGAAGTTTTTGTTGCAGTTTTTGTTAGTTATCTGATCAAGTTAACAATTCTCTGGTCAAGTTAACTGGTCAAGTTAACAATTCTCTGGTCAAGTTAACTGGTCAAGTTAACAATTCTCTGGTCAAGTTAACTATTCTCTGGTCAAGTTAACTGGTCAAGTTAACAATTCTCTGATCAAGTTAACAATTCTCTGGTCAAGTTAACTATTCTCTGGTCAAGTTAACAATTCTCTGATCAAGTTAACAATTCTCTGGTCAAGTTAACAATTCTCTGGTCAAATTAACAATTCGCTGGTCAAGTTAACAATTCTCTGGTCAAGTTAACAATTCTCTGATCAAGTTAACAATTCTCTGGTCAAGTTAACAATTCTCTGATGAAGCCACTAATTACAATGAACTTTCAAGCTCACGAAAGAAACAACTTACCGTAAAAGTGAGGTAAACCTAAGAGAGTAATCACACAAGGCGCAGGACTAAAATTAAATTTACTTGTCAACTGGTTTAAACCTAAATTAAAAACTGCGTCTGGTAGTTTCTAAAAATTTCTTGATTTGACCGTGTTTTGACAGCGCTGGTTTCAACTCCCCGACCTTTGAACTCTGCAGGCAGCTTGTCTCTGGCAACTTGCTCACTCGGCGTCACACCGGTACGTGGGACACTGGGGCTGTGGGGCGATCAGACGTGGCGTGGCGGCCAGAACTTTATACCCCCCAGCCTCTCGTCTGTCAGCCTCTGGTGCTACCGGCGTCTGCCACGTGACGAAAGGTTTTTGTTTAGTATCGTCTGCTACATGTCTTACCACCAACAGATAGTTCATGTGGTTAGATATCTGCTACATGTCTTACCACCAACAGATAATTCATGTGGTTAGATATCTGCTACATGTAATATTGACAGATAATTCATGTGGTTAGATATCTGCTACATGTCTTACCCACCTACAGATAATTCATGTGGTTAGATATCTGCTACATGTCTTACCCACCTACAGATAGTTCATGTGGTTAGATATCTGCTACATGTAATATTGACAGATAATTCATGTGGTTAGATATCTGCTATGTGTCTTACCACCAACAGATAGTTCATGTGGTTAGGTATCTGCTACATGTCTTATCTAATATATAAAGTTGAATCGGTCTCTGTGGCGGACAGACCCTTGGCAGACATGCATATAACAAAAAAAAAAAGACTTTATCATCACAGTGGAATGTTCATTTCATAAAGTGTTTATTTTTTTTAAATAAAATCAAAATTGATACTTTAAAAACTCAATATTGATACATTTTAAACTACATTTTCATTTCTGAACTTAACATTTTGATTGACCTAATATGAAAGACAGAACTAAAATAAAGAACTACCCTTTCCAAAAATTTCAATTTTTTTAGAAAAAAGTATACAAATTACGTGCATTTGTACCAAATACACATGTGATTTACAATAAAGTAAAGTAATAAAAAAATTAATTTAAAAAAAACTTTAAAAAATGTTTGTTTTGATGTTAGCGTTTGTGTTTACGTTTTAGTTTGTTTTTGTATTTGCGTTTGTGTTAATGTTAATGTTTATGTTTGCGTTTATGTTAGCGTTAGGTTTATCTTTGCGTCTGTGTGTTTGTTTGCGTTTGTGTTTGCGTTCGCGTTCGCGTTTTCTTTTTCTTTTGTGTTTGAGTTTGTGTTTACGTTTGCGTTTGCGTTTGTGTTTGTTTTTATGTTTGCGTTAGTGTTAATGTTTACGTTTGTGTTCAAGTTTGCGTTACGTTTATGTTTGCGTTTGCTTTTGTGTTTGTGTTTACATTTGTGTTTTAGTTTTAGTTTTATTGTATGGTTGTTTGTGGTTAGGGTTAAGTTTACAGTTAGAATTAGGTTTACGATTGTGCGTCTATATTTGCATATACATATTCAATTGGGGAAGTAATATATTTCTTAAACCCGGGCAATGCTGGGTATAAGTTACTTAATAAAAACACAAGTAACGGCCCTTTACAGATACTGAGCCCAGAGCAAGGTCTGGGCGGGACGGCTAGTTGACAGATAATTCATGTGGTTAGATATCTGCTACATGTCATACTAATGTCATAGTTACGTTTGTCTGTATTATGGAATACATTTGTCTGTATTATGGAATATATTTGTCTGTATTAGGGAATACATTTGTCTGTATTATGGAATACATTTGTCTGTATTATGGAATATATTTGTCTGTATTATGGAATATATTTGTCTGTATTAGGGAATACATTTGTCTGTATTATGGATCACATTTGTTTATATATTATGGAATAACATAAAGGCAATATTTATTGATGAGTACCATAACACTAAGGATTAGATTATACCGACATCATGTGCATTATTAAAATCTGTACTCGAAATTATTCGTTGTAGATAATAGCAAAATACAGTTACCATTGTATATACTACCAATGTTACTTTCTATTTACCATCGTCAATATTTGATTCTCACACAAATACGATAACTTTTAAATTACATCAGGGTAGAATTAATTTACCATTAGAGTAAAATGGACAGACCATTAATGCAAACATCACACATGTGTACAGCCTGGTTTAGAGGATTAAAAAAACATTTGACGAATGGAATTGTTGATTGGACGGGAGTGGGTTGGACATGACGTCATCAGTTCAACTTGGTCTGCTACCACTAGCAGGCGACGTTTCGCACTAGCGAGCTCGTAATCAGCTCAGTTCGTTCAAATTTGACCAGCAGTTGCCGGGGCACTCGATTGAAAATTGTCAGCAAATTAATGACGTCACATGATTTAACTTTCTCTGGCCATTGGGATCTACACGAGTCACGTGCATGTGCCAGTTTGGCTTTCAATGATTTCACTTTCTCTGGCCATGAGTAACTTTTCTGTTAACAGAAAGTTGTTAGTTCTGTTAGTTCAGGAGAGATGGGGATGGGGGGGGGGGGTGCGACATAAGGTTGTCATCTGAAACCTTGAGCTTAACCTCATATATATATATATATATATATATATATATATATATATATATATATATATATATATATATATATATATATATATAAATATATATAACAATTAAGCACTATTAAATAACGTTAAAGAAAAGCATGGGTCGCTGTATGTACCGGTCGGTGTGGTGTAGCTTCCTCCATATATCGTCATCTTCTACATTTTATGGGGTCTCAAACATGTTTGTGTGTAAAAACTAATTAAATTACATTTTTAAAAAAAAAGGTTGAGTAAAGCTACGTCCGAAACAACAAGTTCCTTTGAGCCTGATCTGGCAAGTCAATACACAATTTTGTTAGAATGTTAACACTAACGAACACCACGTTTTTAGAATGTAAACTATAACGAACATCACGTTTTTAGAATTTTAACAATAACGAACACCAAGTTTTTAGAATGTTAACAATAACGAACACCACGTTTTTAGAATGTTAGCAATAACGAACACCACGTTTTAGAATGTTAACAATAACGAACACCAAGTTTTTAGAATGTTAACAATAACGAACACCAAGTTTTTAAAATGTTAAAAATAACGAACACCAAGTTTTTAGAATGTTAACAATAATGACCACCGCAGTCACACCGTTAGACAGAAAACAGCTTCTATAATGTTAATTAAAACAATTACAATGCGTCCATTTTTATTCAATCAATTATAAATGGCTAATACATGGCAGCCCTTCAATCAATTATAAAAGGCAGACCTACACGAAATAAAAAATTTAGATGATTTTTTAGATGACCAACCCCTACATTAACCAACCATCTTGACCCACCCCTACATTAACCAACCAACCTGACCCACCCCTACATTAACCAACCATATTGACCCACCCCTACATTAACCAACCATCTTGACCCACCCCTACATTAACCAACCATATTGACCCACCCCTACATCTACCAACCATATTGACCCACCCCTACATTAACCAACCATATTGACCCACCCCTACATTAACCAACCATATTGACCCACCCCTACATTAACCAACCATCTGGACCAACCCCTTCATTTACCAACCACCATTCCCCACCCCCTTTATCTGCCCCCCCCCCCACCCCTCCCGACCCATGTTGATCAAATCTCCAGCCTGGCAATAGACACAAGAACGGCTTAAGCTTAGACTGGCCAGATCCTTATGTCACATACAAACTACATTGTCTGTCACACACTGCCTACATATTACTGTCTGTCACACACTGCCTACATATTACTGTCTGTCACACACTGCCTACATATTACTCTGTCATTTTGACATTAAAATTCATCTGCTTTGGTCCCCAGATTATCCTTTATTCACAGACTGATCCGCTGTGATCCGGGCCGGCTAAGTTCCGAATGATTGAGTCGACACACTCGAGGCATAGATCGATCTTTGATTGGAATCTAACGGCCCAATTTCGGTCAGGTGGTTGGGCAGGTCAGGGGAGCGCCGTCTTTAGACGTCAATCAATAACTAATCGAAACAAGATAAGTGTTATGTAGGCCCGTCATGCACCGGCCGGGCTGGCTTCTAATGGCTTGATCACAGGCACGTCAGAGATCCGACCTCTTACAGCCGATTCAAACGTGTTCACCAGCCTAATGGCGGATAAAGTCAGCTTAACGGTAAGTCAATCTAGTGAGCTAACAGCTCAAGTGCTTTGGTTGATTCAGTCGGATAGCTAACTAGATCAGCTGACTTGTAAAAGTGACTTATACAAGTGACTTGTACAAGTGACTTGTAGAAGTGACGTGTATAGCAGCTGACTTGTACACAAAAGACTGTACGCCTGACTAGCAAACTATCCGAGCCCTACAGCACGTTGATACAGCAGAACCTAAAAACTTGGTGTGCTACAGCTGATGTATAACGTACCCAGAACAGTAAAGTTGCTGCGACAAATTTACTTGACGAACAGTAAAGTTGCTGCGACAAATTTACCTGACGAACAGTAAAGTTGCTGCGACAAATTTACCTGACGAACAGTAAAGTTGCTGCGACAAATTTACCTGACGAACAGTAAAGTTGCTGCGACAAATTTACCTGACGAACAGTAAAGTTGCTGCGACAAGTTTACTTGACGAACAGTAAAGCTGCTGCGACAAGTTTACCTGTCGAACAGTAAAGTTAATGCGACAAGTTTACATGACGAACAGTAAAGTTGCTGCGACAAATTTACCTGACGAACAGTAAAGTTGCTGCGACAAGTTTACCTGACGAACAGTAAAGTTGCTGCGACAAGTTTACCTGACGAACAGTAAAGTTAATGCGACAAGTTTACATGACCAACAGTAAAGTTGCTGCGACAAATTTAGCTGACGAACAGTAAAGTTGCTGCGACAAGTTTAGTTGACGAACAGTAAAGTTGCTGCGACAAGTTTAGTTGACGAACAGTAAAGTTGCTGCGACAAGTTTAGTTGACGAACAGTAAAGTTGCTGCGACAAGTTTAGTTGACGAACAGTAAAGTTGCTGCGACAAGTTTAGCTGACGAACAGTAAAGTTGCTGCGACAAGTTTACCTGACGAACAGTAAAGTTGCTGCGACAAATTTACCTGACGAACAGTAAAGTTGCTGCGACAAGTTTACCTGACGAACAGTAAAGTTAATGCGACAAGTTTACATGACCAACAGTAAAGTTGCTGCGACAAGCTTACATGACGAACAGTAAAGTTGCTGCGACAAGTTTAGCTGACGAACAGTAAAGTTGCTGCGACAAGTTTAGCTGACGAACAGATTGAAATAAAAGCCAGAGACGGTTCAGTCATAGTTTTACATCTAGACAACACTACGACAAAGACGGACCAGTGCCGTTATAGATGTTTTAGAGAACTCATTAAAACAAATTTAGAACCGCTGTAATAGCAAGCTTTTAAATACAATCAAAATAAGAAAATGAAACTAATTTTGCTTCCTTTTTACAAGCTTTTATTTAACTCACTTCCTCTGTCTGTCGTAAGTCTGTCTTGACGGAAACGCAGGAGTGAAAATTCGGACAGTTCTACTTGACCGACACGATTCACAGTTGGCACGTGGGTCAAGACATGAAGACAATGCAATCTGAAACTAAATTTGACTTAATTGGATGCCTAATTGATTTTTTATGAATTAATTAAAATTTGGACCGAATTAGTAGGCATGTCTAGCCAACCACACCACACGCGTCATCAATAGCTGCGCCATCACGACCACGTAATGGCTGCGTTCAAAAACCATTGCGCGCCTACTGAACGTGATGTTCAGTAGGCGCGCAATGGTTTTTAGTCATGTAACTCTATTGTAGATAAAACATGTAAAGTACTGAAAAAAAATTCATAAAAAACGTTTTAATAACAAGCTTTTATGTAATGATGCACTAAAAAGTAGAAAATAAATTATAGACTACTATTTAAATAACTATAAAGAAAAGCGTGGGTGTCTTCCTTAACATTAGTAAAGGTATCCAATAGATACTAAAGTGACCCACGCTTTTCTTTATAGTTATTTAAATAGTAGTCTATAATTTATTTTCTACTTTTTAGTGCATCATTACATAAAAGCTTGTTATTAAAACGTTTTTTATGAATTTTTTATAAAATCATTGTCGCCAAAATGGGTTAGAACGAAGAATAAGTAAATAGAGGAAATTTTCTTAAATAAAGATTTCATCGCTAATAAAATCCCAATGCTTTTAAAACGGAAAGAGTATTTGCTTTATTTTCTAATTTTCAGTACATTTAAAAAGTTATTTATCAACGAGGTTTTTGTTTAATTTTATATTTATTTTTTCGCAATTCTTCCTTAATAATGTCGAAAGCACATACGACGAACAATATTAATTGCTTTAAAAACCCCCTCAGTAGCTTTCGATCTCTAAACAAATTACCTGCCCCTTCTTAGCCCGTGGTTGGCTCTGTGGCAAGAAACTAACCAGCCGTGACAACCAGCCGTGACAACCAGCCGTGACAAGCAGCCGTGACAACCAGCCGTGACAACCAGCTGTGACAACCAGCCGTGACAACCAGCCGTGACAACCAGCCGTGACAACCAGCCGTGACAACCAGCTCACCGCCGTCGGCTAGTACTTCATCTTGTTAGCTCCCCTTTGGTTATTGAATCTAGTCATCTAAATTATAAATGTTTGTACTTCATCTTGTTAGCTCCCCTTTTGTTATTGAATCTAGTCATCTAAATTATAAATGTTTGTACTTCATCTTGTTAGCTCCCCTTTTGTTATTGAATCTAGTCATCTAAATTATAAATGTTTGTACTTCATCTTGTTAGCTCCCCTTTTGTTATTGAATCTAGTCATCTAAATTATAAATGTTTGTACTTCATCTTGTTAGCTCCCCTTTTGTTATTGAATCTAGTCATCAAAATTATAAATGTTTGTACTTCATCTTGTTAGCTCCCCTTTTGTTATTGAATCTAGTCATCTAAATTATAAATGTTTGTACTTCATCTTGTTAGCTCCCCTTTTGTTATTGAATCTAGTCATCTAAATTATAAATGTTTGTACTTCATCTTGTTAGCTCCCCTTTTGTTATTGAATCTAGTCATCTAAATTATAAATGTTTGTACTTCATCTTGTTAGCTCCCCTTTTGTTATTGAATCTAGTCATCAAAATTATAAATGTTTGTACTTCATCTTGTTAGCTCCCCTTTTGTTATTGAATCTAGTCATCTAAATTATAAATGTTTGTACTTCATCTTGTTAGCTCCCCTTTTGTTATTGAATCTAGTCATCTAAATTATAAATGTTTGTACTTCATCTTGTTAGCTCCCCTTTTGTTATTGAATCTAGTCATCTAAATTATAAATGTTTGTACTTCATCTTGTTAGCTCCCTTTTGTTATTGAATCTAGTCATCAAAATTATAAATGTTTGTACTTCATCTTGTTAGCTCCCCTTTTGTTATTGAATCTAGTCATCTAAATTATAAATGTTTGTACTTCATCTTGTTAGCTCCCCTTTTGTTATTGAATCTAGTCATCTAAATTATAAATGTTTGTACTTCATCTTGTTAGCTCCCCTTTTGTTATTGAATCTAGTCATCTAAATTATAAATGTTTGTACTTCATCTTGTTATCTCTCCTTTTGTTATTGAATCTAGTCATCTAAATTATAAATGTTTGTACTTCATCTTGTTAGCTCCCCTTTTGTTATTGAATCTAGTCATCTAAATTATAAATGTTTGTACTTCATCTTGTTAGCTCCCCTTTTGTTATTGAATCTAGTCATCTAAATTATAAATGTTTGTACTTCATCTTGTTAGCTCCCCTTTTGTTATTGAATCTAGTCATCTAAATTATAAATGTTTGTACTTCATCTTGTTAGCTCCCCTTTTGTTATTGAATCTAGTCATCTAAATTATAAATGTTTGTACTTCATCTTGTTAGCTCCCCTTTTGTTATTGAATCTAGTCATCTAAATTATAAATGTTTGTATTTTCATCGGAGGCGAATGTATCGGGTAAGTTTGAGCAAAACTGTTGCGATACAAGAAGGTTAAACTTGAATAGCAACAGAGAAAGACACATAGACGCTCAGACGACGGACGCACAGACGCATAAACACACAGACACGTAGACACAGAAACGCACTGCACAAACACAGACGCACGCACGCAGATACACACGCCAGCGTTTAAATTTAAAATCAAGATATTTATATGAATCCAATGGATTTCATTGATCTATACATAAAGATTGGAAAATTCCCGTCATTAAAACATCTATAGCACAAGTGTCCAGGACTAAATCTACAAACAATAATTCAATCCACCAGATGTAACAAACATTCATTCAATCCACCAGATGTAACAAACATTCATTCAATCCACCAGATGTTACTAACATCAATTCAATCCACCAGATGTTACAAACATTCATTCAATCCACCAGATGTAACAAACATTCATTCAATCCACCAGATGTTACTAACATCAATTCAATCCACCAGATGTAACAAACATTCATTCAATCCACCAGATGTAACAAACATTCATTCAATCCACCAGATGTAACAAACATTCATTCAATCCACCAGATGTTACAAACATTCATTCAATCCACCAGATGTAACAAACATTCATTCAATCCACCAGATGTAACAAACATTCATTAAATCTACCACAGCAATAAGCGCAAGATATTTCAGAAAAAAAAATCTTTCAATAAACCCTGACCAACCCGCCTGTAAACCCTGACCAACCCGCCATTAACCCTGACCAACCCGCAATAAACCCTGACCAACCCGTCTATAAACCCTGACCACCCCACATGTAAACCCTGACCAACCCACCAGTAAACACTGACCAACCCGCTATTAACCCTGACCAACCCGCCTATAAACCCTGACCAACCCGCCATAAACCCTGACCAACCCGCCTAAAAACCCTGACCAACCCGCCTATAAACCCTGACCAACCCGCCATAAACCCTGACCAACCCACCTATAAACCCTGACCAACCCGCCTGTAAACCCTGACCAACCCGCCTATAAACCCTGACCAAACCACCTATAAACCCTGACCAACCCGCCTATAAACCCTGACCAACCCGCCTATAAACCCTGACCAACCCGCCTATAAACCCTGACCAACCCGCCATTAACCCTGACCAACCCGCCATAAACCCTGACCAACCCGCGATAAACCCTGACCAACCCGCTTATAACTCCTGACCAACCCGCCTGTAAACCCTGACCAACCCGCCTATAAACCCTGACCAACCTGCGATAAACCCTGACCAACCCGCCTATAAACCCGCCATAAACCCTGACAACCCGCCTGTAAACCCTGACCAACCCGCCTATAAACACTGACCAACCCACCTATAAACCCTGACCAACCCGCCTATAAACCCTGACCAACCCACCTATAAACCCTGACCAACCCGCCATAAACCCTGACCAACCCACCTATAAACCCTGACCAACCCGCGATAAACCCTGACCAACCCGCGATAAACCCTGACCAACCCGCGATAAACCCTGACCAACCCGCCTATAAACCCTGACCAACCCGCGATAAGCCCTGACCAACCCGCCATAAACCCTGAAAAACCCGCCTGTAAACCCTGACCAACTCGCCTATAAACCCTGACCAACCCGCCATTAACCCTGACCAACCCGCTTTAAACCCTGACCAACCCGCCTATAAACCCTGACCAACCCACCTATAAACCCTGACCAACCCGCCTATAAACCCTGACCAACCCGCCTATAAACCCTGACCAACCCGCCATTAACCCTGACCAACCCGCCATAAACCCTGACCAACCCGCGATAAACCCTGACCAACCCGCTTATAACTCCTGACCAACCCGCCTGTAAACCCTGACCAACCCGCCTATAAACCCTGACCAACCTGCGATAAACCCTGACCAACCCGCCTATAAACCCGCCATAAACCCTGACAACCCGCCTGTAAACCCTGACCAACCCGCCTATAAACACTGACCAACCCACCTATAAACCCTGACCAACCCGCCTATAAACCCTGACCAACCCACCTATAAACCCTGACCAACCCGCCATAAACCCTGACCAACCCACCTATAAACCCTGACCAACCCGCGATAAACCCTGACCAACCCGCCTATAAACCCTGACCAACCCGCGATAAGCCCTGACCAACCCGCCATAAACCCTGAAAAACCCGCCTGTAAACCCTGACCAACTCGCCTATAAACCCTGACCAACCCGCCATTAACCCTGACCAACCCGCTTTAAACCCTGACCAACCCGCCTATAAACCCTGACCAACCCGCGATAAACCCTGACCAACCCGCTTATAACCCCTGACCAACCCGCCTGTAAACCCTGACCAACCCGCCTATAAACCCTGACCAACCCGCGATAAACCCTGACCAACCTGCCTATAAACCCGCCATAAACCCTGACAACCCGCCTGTAAACCCTGACCAACCCACCTATAAACCCTGACCAACCCGCGATAAACCCTGACCAACCCGCGATAAACCCTGACTAACCCGCGATAAACCCTGACCAACCCGCCATAAACCCTGACCAACCCACCTATAAACCCTGACCAACCCGCCTATAAACCCTGACCAACCCGCCTATAAACCCTGACCAACCCGCGAAAAACCCTGGCCAACCCGCGATAAACCCTGACCAACCCGCCATAAACCCTGACCAACCCGCGATAAACCCTGACCAACCCGCGATAAACCCTGACCAACCCGCCATAAACCTGACCAACCCGCCTATAAACCCGCCTATAAACCCTGACCAACCCGCCTATAAACCCTGACCAACCCGCCATAAACCCTGACCAACCCGCCATAAACCCTGACCAACCCGCAATAAACCCTGACCAACCCTGTCCACAGACGGCCAGAAGGTCCAGCCAGCAGGAGATGTTCAAGCGGCAGACAACCCAGGAGCAGGTCTTCATCACGGTGCCAGACAGGTCACGTGAGGGCTCGCTTCTCCGAGTGACGTCACCGTCACCACCTCCCGAAGATGACCTGGATATGGAAGGTAGACCAGTTATCAATCACATCGATCACATCGATCTGGTATCGGTGTAACAGTTCCCCTCCATCTGTCGTTAACAGTCTTATAGACAACGCAGAACACGTCTGTCTGTGTGTCTGTCTGTGTGTCAGCCTGTGTTTCTGTGTCCGTGTCCGTTTGTCTGTCTGTGTGTCTATATGTCCGTCTGTCTGTCTGTGTGTCTGTGACATAAATCCTCCGACTATGGCGGTATTCGATTGCTCCGTAGCAATGTACCAGACACCGGTTTTCGTTATGACTTTATTTCCGGGGACAAAAACTTGCAAGTCTTCTTTTGATTGGACAAACGGGAAAGGTGACGTCACAGACGTCCAAATCAGGTCCTAGTAAACATTTTGTCGGCCTGACGTCGGTGGTCAACCAGGTGGTTGGTCAACAGATGGTTGGTCAACAGATGGTTGGTCAACAGATGGTTGGTAAACAGATGGTTGGTCAACAGATGGTTGGTCAACAGATGGTTGGTCAACAGATGGTTGGTCAAAAGATGGTTGGTCAACAGATGGTTGGTCAACAGATGGTTGGTAAACAGATGGTTGGTCAACAGATGGTTGGTCAACAGATGGTTGGTCAACAGATGGTTGGTCAACAGATGGTTGGTCAACAGATGGTTGGTCAACAGATGGTTGGTCAACAGATGGTTGGTCAACAGATGGTTGGTCAACCAGATAGTTATCTAGAATGGTTAGGCTTTGAACTATATGGGTAAAAACCGTATTGTATTGGTCTACTGGTACAGTTGCCGTCTGTTAGAGTTGTCTACTGGTACAGTTGTATACTGGTACAGTTGTATACTGGTACAGTTTTCTATTGGTACAGTTGTCTACTGGTACAGTTGTCTACTGGTACAGTTGTCTACTGGTACAGTTGTATACTGGTACAGTTGTCGTCTGGTACAGTTGTCGTCTGGTACAGTTGTATACTGGTACAGTTGTATACTGGTACAGTTGTATACTGGTACAGTTATCTACTGGTACAGTTGTATACTGGTACAGTTATCTACTGGTACAGTTGTATACTGGTACAGTTGTCTACTGGTACAGTTCTATACTGGTACAGTTATCTACTGGTACAGTTGTCTACTGGTACAGTTGTCTACTGGTACAGTTGTATACTGGTACAGTTGTCGTCTGGTACAGTTGTCGTCTGGTACAGTTGTATACTGGTACAGTTGTATACTGGTACAGTTATCTACTGGTACAGTTGTATACTGGTACAGTTATCTACTGGTACAGTTGCCGTCTGTTAGAGTTGTCTACTGGTACAGTTGTCTACTGGTACAGTTGTATACTGGTACAGTTGTCGTCTGGTACAGTTGTCGTCTGGTACAGTTGTATACTGGTACAGTTGTATACTGGTACAGTTGTATACTGGTACAGTTATCTACTGGTACAGTTGTATACTGGTACAGTTATCTACTGGTACAGTTGCCGTCTGTTAGAGTTGTCTACTGGTACAGTTGTCTACTGGTACAGTTGTCTACTGGTACAGTTGTATACTGGTACAGTTGTCGTCTGGTACAGTTGTCGTCTGGTACAGTTGTATACTGGTACAGTTGTATACTGGTACAGTTGTATACTGGTACAGTTATCTACTGGTACAGTTGTATACTGGTACAGTTATCTACTGGTACAGTTGTATACTGGTACAGTTGTCTACTGGTACAGTTCTATACTGGTACAGTTATCTACTGGTACAGTTGTCTACTGGTACAGTTGTCTACTGGTACAGTTGTATACTGGTACAGTTGTCGTCTGGTACAGTTGTCGTCTGGTACAGTTGTATACTGGTACAGTTGTATACTGGTACAGTTATCTACTGGTACAGTTGTATACTGGTACAGTTATCTACTGGTACAGTTGTATACTGGTACAGTTGTCTACTGGTACAGTTATATACTGGTACATTTGTATACTGGTACAGTTGTCTACTGGTACAGTTGTATACTGGTACAGTTATCTACTGGTACAGTTGTCTACTGGTACAGTTGTCTACTGGTACAGTTGTCGTCTGGTACAGTTGTATACTGGTACAGTTGTCGTCTGGTACAGTTGTATACTAATCAAGCCTGCTGGGACAGTTTCCTCTTGGCAAAACAAAGTTAACAAACTTTGTTGACCTCCTTGGAATTACCTCCCTGGTAAACAAAGACACGAAATGACGTCAAGAGAAAGTATCAGTTGTCAGCAAGTTATTGAAAGGCAGATCTCAAATCTTACTGCCCCAGATCTCAAATCTTACTGCCCCAGATCTCAAATCTTACTGCCCTAGTACCCAGATCTCAAATCTTACTGCCCCAGATCTTATATCTTACTGCCCCAGATCTCAAATCTTACTGCCCTAGTACCCAGATCTCAAATCTTACTGCCTCAGATCTCAAATCTTACTGCCCCAGATCTCAAATCTTACTTCCCTAGTACCCAGATCTCAAATCTTACTGCCCCAGATCTCAAATCTTACTGCCCTAGTACCCAGATCTCAAATCTTACTGCCCTAGTACCCAGATCTCAAATCTTACTGCCCCAGATCTCAAATCTTACTGCCCCAGATCTCAAATCTTACTGCCCCAGATCTCAAATCTTACTGCCCCAGATCTCAAATCTTACTGCTCGAGTACCTACTTGATGTCAGATTCCACACTTGATTGCCAGGCACTTACCAAGCATTCAACTCTGTATTGGGACGCTGCTTCCACTTTAGTACTTTACAAAATTCAATTCTTGAACTCTATGGTACCCGTGGAGCGCTAATGTTGTGATTTGCCCCTGGGTCAAGCTGATCCCCGGGGGAAAATTAACAATGGACAGATACATTTTTATTTCTCGACATTTTTAAGCTCTGAATGAAAATATTGCTTTCTGCTTAATGGCCAATCTAGTCGTCTCAATGTGTAGCACAGTCCGAGCACCCCACGCCCCCTCGTCTCATCTGACAACACCCCCACGCCATGACAACACCCCCACGCCATGACAACACCCCCACGCCATGACAACACCCCCACGCCATGACAACACCCCCACGCCATGACCTCACCTCTGATACACCCCCGCGCCCTGTAGTCTTATCTGACACCCCCGCGCCCTGTCGTCTCATATGACAACACCCCCACGCCATGACGTCACCGCCGACAGAAATCTAATAACGTCAGCCTAGATTACCGCCTAGATTGTGCAGTGGAACAAATTGTCCATTGACATTTTTTGTCTTGTTGCTGCGTACAAGATATCGCCGTGTGCCCCCCTAACTCCTCCCCCCCCCGGGCAGTGGCGACCCATTCAATTAGGACATGTGATTCTGTTGAGCCTGTTTAGATGAGAGGACAATGTCCTGAGGGACACAAACAGACCGTAATTTGCTTGCTGCTAACACAAGGGTGAAGAAACAGAGGGGGTGGGGCGTGGTAGGGGTGGGAGCGTGGTAGGGGTGGGGCGTGGTAGGGGTGGGAGCGTGGTAGGGGTGGGGCGTGGTAGGGGCGGGAGCGTGGTAAGTGGGAGTGTGTTAGGGGTGGGGCGTGGTATGGGTGGGAGCGTGGTAGGGGTGGGAGCGTGGTAGGGGTGGGGGTGGGAGCGTGGTAGAGCGGGGGCGTGGTAAGTGGGAGTGTGTTAAGGGTGGGGCGTGGTAGGGGTGGGAGCGTGGAAGGGCGGGGGCGTGTTAGTGGTGGGAGCGTGGTAGGAGTGGGGTGGGAGCGTGGTAGGGGTGGAGCGTGGTAAGTGGGAGTGTGTTAGGGGTGGGGCGTGGTAGGGGTGGGAGCGTGGAAGGGCGGGGGCGTGTTAGTATTGGGAGCGTGGTAGGAGTGGGGTGGGAGCGTGGTAGGGGTGGAGCGTGGTAAGTGGGAGTGTGTTAGGGGTGGGGCGTGGTAGGGGTGGGAGCGTGGTAGCATTGGGGTGGGAGCGTGGTAGGTGTTGAGCGTGGTAGGGGTGGGAGCGTGGTAGGGGCGGGGATGGGAGCGTGGTAGGTGTGGAGCGTGGTAGGGGCGGGGATGGGAGCGTGGTAGGTGTGGAGCGTGGTAGGTGTGGAGCGTGGTAGGGGTGGGGCGTGGTAGGGGTGGGGCGTGGTAGGGGTGGAGCGTGGTAGGGGTGGGAGCGTGGTAGGGGTGGGGCGTGGTAGGTGTGGAGCGTGGTAGGTGTGGAGCGTGGTAGAGGTGGGGTGGGAGCGTGGTAGGTGTGGAGCGTGGTAGGGGTGGGGCGTGGTAGGGGTGGGGCGTGGTAGGGGTGGGGCGTGGTAGGGGTGGGAGCGTGGTAGGGGTGGGGCGTGGTAGGTGTGGAGCGTGGTAGGTGTGGAGCGTGGTAGGGGTGGGGCGTGGTAGGGGTGGGGCGTGGTAGGTGTGGGGCGTGGTAGGTGTGGGGCGTGGTAGGGGTGGGGCGTGGTAGGGGTGGGGCGTGGTAGGGGTGGGGCGTGGTAGGGGTGGGGCGTGGTAGGGGTGGGGCGTGGTAGGGGTGGGGCGTGGTAGGGGTGGGAGCGTGGTAGGGGCGGGGATGGGAGCGTGGTAGGGGTGGGGCGTGGTAGGGGTGGGAGCGTGGTAGGTGTGGAGCGTGGTAGGGGTTGGGCGTGGTAGGGGTGGGGCGTGGTAGGGGTGGGGGTTTGAACGTGGTAGGTGTGGAGCGTGGTAGGGGTGGGGCGTGGTAGGGGTGGGGCGTGGTAGGGGTGGGGCGTGGTAGGGGTGGGGCGTGGTAGGGGTGGGGGTTTGAACGTGGTAGGTGTGGAACGTGGTAGGGGTTGGGCGTGGTAGGGGTGGGGCGTGGTAGGGGTGGGGCGTGGTAGGGTGGAAGCGTGGTAGGGGCGGGGATGGGAGCGTGTTAGGGGTGGAGCGTGTTAGGGGTGGGGCGTGGTAGGGGTGGGGGTGGGAACGTGGTAGGTGTGGAGCGTGGTAGGGTGGGGGTGGGAGCGTGGTAGGGGTGGGGGTGGGGCGTGTTAGGGTGGAAGCGTGGTAGGGTCGGGGATGGGAGCGTGGTAGGTGTGGAGCGTGGTAGGGGTGGGGCGTGGTAAGGGTGGGGGTGGTAGGGGTGGGAGCGTGGTAGGGGTGGGGCGTGGTAGGGGTGGGGGTGGGAACGTGGTAGGGGTGGAGCGTGGTAGGGGTGGGGCGTGGTAGGGGTGGGGCGTGATAGAGTGGAAGCGTGGTAGGGGCGGGGATGGGAGCGTGGTAGGGGTAGAGCGTGGTAGGGGTGGGGCGTGGTAAGGGTGGGGGTGGTAGGGGTGGGAGCGTGGTAGGGGTGGGGCGTGGTAGGGGTGGGGGTGGGAACGTGGTAGGGGTGGAGCGTGGTAGGGGTGGGGCGTGGTAAGGGTGGGGGTGGGAACGTGGTAGGTGTGGAGCGTGGTAGGGGTGGGGCGTGGTAGGGTTGGGGCGTGGTAGGGGTGGGGGTGGGAGCATGGTAGGGTGGGAGCGTGGAAAGGGTGGGGCGTGGTAAGGGTGAGGTGTGGTAGGGGTGGGGGTGGTAGGGGTGGGAGCGTGGTAGGGTTGGGGTGGGACGTGGTAGGTATGGGGTGTGGTATGGGTGGGATCATGGTAGGGGTGGGGCATGGTAAGGGTGGGGGTGGAAGCGTGGTAGGTGCTAGGCTGGGAGCGTGGTAGGGAACGGAGCGTGGTAAGGGTGGGGTGGGAGCGTTGTAGAAGTGTGGGCGGGGACGTGTTACGGGTGTTAAGGGTGTGATGTTGTAGGGGGTGGGGCGTGCTTTAGTGGTGGTGGGGGCGTTATAGAGGGGTAGGGTGAGGGAGATAATGAGCTACAGAGTGAGGGGGGGGTGGAAGGGGAGGCTTGTGGACCTTGAATATTGGCATTAAAGTACAGGCTGTGTTGTGTTTGGTCTATTTGGTTGTGTGTTTAATGTGTTCAAACGAATGTGTTTAACTGCCAGCAGTCACCTGACGAGTCACTTGAGTGACTTAATGTGCCCACGTCATTCTGACAGTTATGTAATAAGTGTCTACAAAAATCAATTAAACTCTGAAAGGCGACATTGTCAAAATAATTACACGTGAGCTATTTATAGAACTACATGTACAGGTCATAGAGGGGAGCATCTACTTGACAGGACCTGCGACAGGCTGTACAGCCTGCGATAGGCTGTACAACTTGCGACAGGCTGTACAACTTGTGACAGGCTGTACAACCTGCGACAGGCTGTACAACCTGCGACAGGCTGTACAACCTGCGACAGGCTGTACAACCTGCGACAGGCTGTACAACCTGCGACAGGCTGTACAACATGCGACAGGCTGTACAACATGTGACAGGCTGTACAACCTGCGACAGGCTGTAGAACATGCGACAGGCTGTACAACATGTGACAGGCTGTACAACCTGCGACAGGCTGTAGAACATGCGACAGGCTGTACAACATGCGACAGGCTGTACAACCTGCGACAGGCTGTACACGCTGTTCAAACAAAAATGTCACGTGACCTATTTTTCCCAGCAGACAAGAAAGTGAAACCGGATGTGGACGAGATCAAGAAGCGCCTCTACCAGCGGGAGTGCACCAAGCTGGGCATCACGCCCATAGGCGCCTTTTTGAGGGAGCCCACCCGCACGGAGCTCTCCATACGTCACTACAGTCTAGGGCCCACTGGAGCCCGGGCTCTCTCTGTGCCGCTCATGGTCAGTTGATAGATAGTGGACAGTGCCCAGATGATAGATAGTGGACAGTGCCCAGTTGATAGAAAGTGGACAGTGCCCAGTTGATAGAAAGTGGACAGTGCCCAGTTGATAGATAGTAGACTGTGCCCAGATGATAGATAGTGGTCACTGCCCAGTTGATAGAAAGTAGACAGTGCCCAGTTGATAGAAAGTAGACAGTGCCCAGTTGATAGAAAGTAGACAGTGCCCAGTTGATAGATAGTAGACAGTGCCCAGTTGATAGAAAGTAGACAGTGCCCAGTTGATAGAAAGTAGACAGTGCCAAGTTGATAGAAAGTAGAAAATAATGTTCAGTTAAAAGAAGATTTGTGACCACTGTAGTAGCATAATTTACCTTGACTTTACCGTGACCTCATTTCTAGCTGGACTCTACAATGACTCACCTTGACCTTGAAGGAAACGGCCTTGGCCCTGAAGGTCTGGCTAACATGATGGAGATGTTGATGGAACACTGCAGCCTAACGCATCTGGTGAGTCGGTCTGTCTGTCTGTATGCGTGCGTCTGTCTGAGTGTCTGTCTGTTTGCCTGCCTGCCTGTCTGTCTGTCTGTCTGTTTGTGTTACAGTGTGTCTGTTTATCTGCATGTAAGAGTGTCTGTCGGTGTTTCTGTATGTCTGTGTGTCTGTGTTTGTCTGTTTGTCTGTGTGTCTATCTATGACTATGCAACTCTGCCTCTCGGTATCTGTCTTTATGTCTGTCTGTCTGTCGTCCTGTATGTCTGTGATATATAGTTACTGTTTTAAAAAAAAAAACGGGGCACTTTTATTTTTACTTTTGAAAAAAAAAAACCAGTCCTTAATTGAACCTGAGATTTCTAGACGTACTAAAACAAATTAAGTGTTCGCTCTTCCAATAGTTCACCACGATTGGTTGAGGCCTTCAACATAGGCGGGCTCGCTCGCTAGGACATTCAATGATATTTGTAGGCTGTGGTTTAGTTGAGCTTACAGTAACTTGACTTCATGACTTAAACTAACCTGACTTCATGACTTCTGATAACTTGACTTGATGACTTCCACAGAACCTAAAAAGGAACAAACTACAAAGTCGTGGTGCCGCCATCTTGGCCCAGATCCTTCAAGTCAACAAACTCATCGTCAGCCTCAACATCGCAGGTAGACATACATACATACATACATACTGATATATATATATATATATACATATATATATATATATATATATATATATATATATATATATATATATATATATATATATATATATATACACATATATACATACACACACACATATATATATATATATATATATATATATACACATATATATATATATATATATATATATATATATATATATATATATATATATATATATATATATATATATATATATATATATATATATATATATTCCTATAACCGCCCGCTCCCCCCACCCCTTGAAGGAAGAACACATTTCTCGCCCCAGCAGCGATAAACTGTTCACGCCTGACTGAGCAGCCAATCAATCAAACTATAAATAGCCACCAAAAGACCGACACGACTTATCGTCCAATCATTTGACTCGGTTCCCAGCCCGGGGGACAGCTCGTCCTTTTAAGTGTGTGTGTGTGGGGGGGGGGGGCTTGTTGGAGACGTGTGTAGGTTAAATTTGACTATTTGCTAGTTTTAAAATACTGTCCACCTATAAAAGTTGCCTTCCAATTTGAGTCGAACATAGAGTGGTCTCAAACCCATCCCATAGTTTGTAAAAAAACACGTGAGCAACCTGAACAAAATGGTTAGAAAAATAGCCTCCAACTCAGCTTGCAAGCAATTGGATATTTCAAGAACTGAATGAAAAAAAAATATCCTCGCAACAACAAAACAAACAGAATCAACTCTGAGAGTATTTGTCATTCATTTTTAATGCGTGCACCTAGAGAATTCATTGAAATACAGGACTGCTCTATACAGTCGTGTACTTGGCACAATCAGATGCACTGCCTGACACAATCACTACCTGACACAATCACTACCTGACACAATCACTACCTGACACAATCACTACCTGACACAATCACTACCTGACACAATCACTACCTGACACAATCACTACCTGACACAATCACTACATGACACAATCACTACATGACACAATCACTACCTGACACAATCACTACCTGACACAATCACTACCTGACGCAACCACTACCTGACACAATCACTACCTGACACAATCACTACCTGACACAATCACTACCTGACACAACCACTACCTGACACAATCACTACCTGACACAACCTCTACCTGACACAATCACTACCTGACACAATAACTACCTGACACAATCACTACCTGACACAATCACTACCTGACACAATCACTACCTGACACAATCACTACCTGACACAATCACTACCTGACACAACCACTACCTGACACAATCACTACCTGACACAATCACTACCTGACACAATCACTACCTGACACAATCACTACCTGACACAATCACTACCTGACACAATCACTACCTGACACAATCACTACCTGACACAATCACTACCTGTTGTAGATCACACAGATAAAAACATCGCCTCTAATTCACCCACCTCGCAATACCTTCACTGCAAGCGCACATTATACCATAATTCTCTTAATTAGATTAATGAGGTCTTTAAAAAGTTGAGCAAAAGGCCAGCCTGACGGCAATATGACGCTCGCATTTTTTTGTTGCAGCCAACGAGTTTGTGGACAAAGATGGCGTCGTCTTCGCTGATCTCCTCAAGGTTGGTCATGTCGGTACACGTTGTGTACGCGAGTCTGTGCGTGTGTGTACGCGAGTCTCTACGTGTGTACGCGAGTCTAAGCGTGTGTACGCGAGTCTAAGCGTGTGTGTACGTGTGTGTGTACGCGAGTCTCTACGTGTGTGTGTGTGTTCGCGAGTCTGTACGTATGTGTACGCGAGTCTAAGCGTGTGTGTACGTGTGTAGGTGTCGGTGTGTGAGTTGAAGCACGTGCCAACACACTCACGTTCATCCCCAGGTAAACAACCACCTCAAGACACTTGACCTCTCGGACAATGAACTTGGTCACCTGGCCGGCCGACACCTGGGCGAGGCTTTAGGTAAAACATGAGCCCTTCTCACCTGTGCCACAAACTTGTTCCCCTCTCACCTGTGTTACAAACTTGACCCCTCTCACCTGTGTTACAAACTTGACCCCTCTCACCTGTGTTTATAACTTGACCCCTCTCACCTGTGTTTATAACTTGACCCCTCTCAAGTGTGTTTGAAATGTTGGCAAACATTAGGGCACACAATACCAGAAAGCTCACACATATCACATATTCAGCCACCCTTCCACCACACCAGACAGCCCCCCCCCCCACCACCACCACCACCAACCACATCAGACAGCCATCGACCACACTAGTTTGAGGACCGCCGTGTGATGATGACGTGAAAAATGTGCCAATCATCCACCGAGCGGACGAGATAGAGGATCTGACAGAGTGGGGTCAGGGGTCAGCTGACCCGGTCATGCAGGAAGTGAAGCCATTGGAAGCTTCTCGACAACACCGACTCATATCCCGACTCACGGCTCCTGAGTGGGGCTTGCTGGAAGGTTCCAGAGTCGGGCGGAGACTTGACCTCGACGTGAAACTGCGTCACGTTCATTCCGTCACGTCTTACGATTCTGTCACGTTGCAGTGTCACGTGTGTCTTACTGCGACTGACTAAACTCAGGTTGACCGTATTCACCCAACTACCCCCCACCCCCTCGTAGAGGTTACTGACTAAATTCAGGTTGACCTTATTCACCTAATACCCTCCCTCAACCCCCCCCCCTCACACGTAGAGGTTACTACTGTTACTAAAAATATCTGACCTACTTCTGCAGGTCAGAACGACACTCTGGAGTCTCTGGACCTCAGTTGGAACCAGTTCAGGGAGGGTGGGGCCGCCAACCTGATGGACGGGGTTAAGGTGAGGTCAAGGTGAGGTTATGGTGGTTCAGGTGAGGTACTGCTAACTTTTGAGTAATTTCCGGTATACGGAACTTGTGCTTTCTTCTACTTCTTTGTGAACACGAGAACTTGAGTACCGTTCAAGTTATGTGGATACAATTTTATGTATAAGTGTTAACTTTTGTACGTAGATTTCTTTCACCGTTTGAGCGATTTCCAGTAACCGGAAGACGTTCTTTATTCAATGTCTGGTTTGAAAAAAAAAAACTTTTAGAATAATTCGTTTCAATCGAATTCTCATAAATCTCATTCATTATTCTGAGCATTTTTCGCCTTTGTTTTTTTTTTTTCTAAAAAAAACGAGCGACCCCCCCCCCCCCCCCCTCCCACATCGTTTTATATTTCTATACACCTATTCTTGCGGGAAGTGCCATCCAACCTCTATTTTATATATATATATATATATATATATATATATATATATATATATATATATATATATATATATATATATATATATATATATATATATATATATATATATATTATAGAAGGAGTTAATACAATTTTTTTTAGCGCAATTTCCATTCTGGAGAATTGCGTTTATTAACTCGTCATTTCTGGATGGATGGATGGATGGATGAATGTATGGATGAATGTGTGTCCGGGCTTTAAGTCGTATCTCCTCCTCAACGAAGCAATATCGATGACTAGTTACAAAAACAATTATGTTAAGCAAGTTACGAGAATGAGCATAGGCCATAAAAATTCCGGGTTTCTTTCATGTATTTCCCGGAAAATCCAAAAAACCTGGAAAAAATGCAGTTTTTGGCCCATATCTCGGCAACCAGACCACTTAGCGACTTGAAACATGTACCAATCGATTCCTGCCATAATTTAGAACAATACTGCCGAAGAAAGTTTTCAAAAATATCCTTTCGTTTGGTCACAAAATTTTTTTTTAATTAATTAAAATTTGGACCGAATTAGTAGGCATTTTATGCAACCACACCACACGCGTCATCACGTTCAATAGCTGTGCCATCACGTTCGGTAGCTAGGCGCGCAATGGTTTTTAGTCATGTTACTCTATTGTAAATAAAACATGTAAAATACTGAAAAAAATAAAAATAAAAAACGTTTTAATAACTAACCAATGGTTTTACTAACCCTGCTCTTGATTTACGCTACGACAGAGCTATTTTTAGATAACATAAGGAAATTGCGCTAAAATTGTCACTAGACTTTTTTTAATTACTTGTTTTAAATAGGGTTGAAGATTTTAATTTTAGTGTTTTTATAGCTAGATTATGGTTGAACCTATTTAAATGCAGCATCACTTTCTACTATCCCAAGCAGTAGCGTACGCAGGGGGGGAGCAGGGGGAGCGGCCGCTCCCCCTGTGACCATTTTCAGCAAAATGGCGCCTTTTTGGAAACTTTTTAAACTCAAAGTTTTAAACAAAGATATTTGTTAAAAAAATATTTTTGGTCGGCACATCTATGTAAATCACAAGATTCCTTTTCATGCAGCAATTAAGCATTATTGTACTAGTATAGTAGTGTCTACGTTTACAACACGTATCAACAGCCGCATCAGTTTGCCATTCTAAAAAGTATTCTTACAGTTTGGGCTATAGTGATACGATTACAAATTATATGAAACAGTTACAACCCCTCTCCCCTATGGACCCCTCTGTAAAAAAAATATTGTCATAATACCACTGCTACTTATTTAAATCTATTTCTGAATCAGTATACATGTGTAATATATATATATATATATATATATATATATATATATATATATATATATATATATATATATATATATATATATATATATATATATATATATATATGTATGTATGTTCAGAAGATTGTAGGAAAAAAAGTCACAGGAAAAAAAACACAGGAAAAATAAAACACAGAAAAAAAGTCACAGGAAAAAAAGTCACAGGAAACACAGGAAAAAAAGTCACAAATATATATTTGCATGGAATTTGTTAATACCTTTATGAATTATATATTCAGAGATTTCAAATTAGCTTAGGATTAATTAAATGTAATGTAATGTATGTAGGTTGTATACGAATGGTATTTTTTATAATTTATCTAAAAATATTTAGTATGAAGTATGTAGATTGTAATTATGTTAAATATAAGATTAATAACGTTTAATAGAATTTTCCAACGTCCTTGGTTTTTTTAGCGCAATTTCCATTCTGGAGAATTGCGTTTATTAACTCGTCATTTCTGGATGGATGGATGGATGGATGAATGTATGGATGAATGTGTGTCCGGGCTTTAAGTCGTATCTCCTCCTCAACGAAGCAATATCGATGACTAGTTACAAAAACAATTATGTTAAGCAAGTTACGAGAATGAGCATAGGCCATAAAAATTCCGGGTTTCTTTCATGTATTTCCCGGAAAATCCAAAAAACCTGGAAAAAATGCAGTTTTTGGCCCATATCTCGGCAACCAGACCACTTAGCGACTTGAAACATGTACCAATCGATTCCTGCCATAATTTAGAACAATACTGCCGAAGAAAGTTTTCAAAAATATCCTTTCGTTTGGTCACAAAAATTTTTTTTAATTAATTAAAATTTGGACCGAATTAGTAGGCATTTTATGCAACCACACCACACGCGTCATCACGTTCAATAGCTGTGCCATCACGTTCGGTAGCTAGGCGCGCAATGGTTTTTAGTCATGTTACTCTATTGTAAATAAAACATGTAAAATACTGAAAAAAATAAAAATAAAAAACGTTTTAATAACTAACCAATGGTTTTACTAACCCTGCTCTTGATTTACGCTACGACAGAGCTATTTTTAGATAACATAAGGAAATTGCGCTAAAATTGTCACTAGACTTTTTTTAATTACTTGTTTTAAATAGGGTTGAAGATTTTAATTTTAGTGTTTTTATAGCTAGATTATGGTTGAACCTATTTAAATGCAGCATCACTTTCTACTATCCCAAGCAGTAGCGTACGCAGGGGGGGAGCAGGGGGAGCGGCCGCTCCCCCTGTGACCATTTTCAGCAAAATGGCGCCTTTTTGGAAACTTTTTAAACTCAAAGTTTTAAACAAAGATATTTGTTAAAAAAATATTTTTGGTCGGCACATCTATGTAAATCACAAGATTCCTTTTCATGCAGCTATTAAGCATTATTGTACTAGTATAGTAGTGTCTACGTTTACAACACGTATCAACAGCCGCATCAGTTTGCCATTCTAAAAAGTATTCTTACAGTTTGGGCTATAGTGATATGATTACAAATTATATGAAACAGTTACAACCCCTCTCCCCTATGGACCCCTCTATAAAAAATAAAAAAAATATTGTCATAATACCACTGCTACTTATTTAAATCTATTTCTGAATCAGTATACATGTGTAATATATATATATATATATATATATATATATATATATATATATATATATATATATATATATATATATATATGTATGTTCAGAAGATTGTAGGAAAAAAAGTCACAGGAAAAAAAAACACAGGAAAAATAAAACACAGAATAAAAGTCACAGGAAAAAAAGTCACAGGAAACACAGGAAAAAAAGTCACAAATATATATTTGCATGGAATTTGTTAATACCTTTATGAATTATATATTCAGAGATTTCAAATTAGCTTAGGATTAATTAAATGTAATGTAATGTATGTAGGTTGTATACGAATGGTATTTTTTATAATTTATCTAAAAATATTTAGTATGAAGTATGTAGATTGTAATTATGTTAAATATAAGATTAATAACGTTTAATAGAATTTTCCAACGTCCTTGGTTTTTATTGTGTTTTTTTAAATACTAACATTAAATTACCGCGAAATGGTAAGTTTATCTGACTTGCTGCCCTCAACTGATAGCAGCAATAGATCAACCACCTTTACTGCCCACATTTATCACGCTCATTACATAACAAAGCATAGGATCAAAACAGAAAGCCGACAATTTTTAAAGGCTGAGATTGACACACAACGTCAACATCACACAATATGTTCGGACAAGGCCGACTAAGGAGAGGCCGACCAGAGAATAGCCTGCGGCAAAACATGAAAAACACAATAATGCGCCTAAATTTCTTTTATAATTAACTTTTCTACCGTGTATTTAACAAAATACGTAACAAAAGTTGAAATTGTTGTGTAAATTATCTGAGAGTGTTTTTTTTTCTTACAATAGTTAAAAAACATAATGCTTTTAATGTCTATAATTAATATATCCTATCAAAAAATAGAACCCATAACAATAAACATACACAATTTTACAATTTTCAACAAATAAATCTAAATATTTCTGCACATTTTTTGTGACTTTTTTTCTGTGACTTTATTTCTGTGACTTTTTTTCCGAAATTTTTTTCCCATTGTGACTTTTTTTCTGTGACTTTTTTTTCCTAGCAAAAACTGTGACTTTTTTTCTGTTTTTTTTTCCTGTGACTTTTTTTCCGTTCACCGTTCAGAAAAGTCATCTAAAAACTGACGCTATGTTCACTCTGAGTTGGTTATCTCCCCCCCCCCCACACACACACCTCACCACCACAATTGTGTAGAGCGACCTTAATGTCACACCTAGGTATACAAAGAGTTCGATAATTGTGAGCAATACAGTGATCTAACCCATACCTATCACTATGTTAAAAAATGATCTTTAAAGAACACAAGAAGCAGTACTTAATTGAAAAAAAAATATGATCTGAAATAAAAGAGCGAAATATAGTTCAATGTAGGCTGTTATACCGAAGGTATACTATTGTTTCGAAAAGCGTGATTTTATACCAACTCTGATTTCAAAATCTCTCATTATGCTGTAATACTTTAGCATTTATGATGAAGATATATTTAATTCTGATTATAGACAAAAATATTTTGTTAACGCGGATAGCGTTAAACAATTTCATTATATTCTTAAGTAATTATTTATTTATTTTGACATTTATAATTAAATGTGTAGATATATACATATTTATATTAAGAGAGTGATTATTTCCCCTATTTCACTTGTCTTAAATAATTTTCCAGGAATTATAATGTAAGAATTTTTTTTTACAAGAATTACAAAACAGATTGTGTTACGTTCATCGTTTTTGGTTGTAGTGTGTGTATATTTTGTTTTTTTTTGTTTAGATACAATTTTTGTTTTGTCGGCCTACATTGTGTGTTTTTTCTTATTTCTTCAGAGTGCTACTTTCAATTTACTTTTCATCATAGCGAAGTAATGACATACAGCTAGTAATTATATATATATATATATATATATATATATATATATATATATATATATATATATATATATATATATATATATATATATATATAATATATAGAACGTGTTAAAAATTCGGCGCCTTTTTTTGCTCTTTTCGCTCCCCCTACTACGAAAACCTGGATGCGCCTCTGATCCCAAGCTAGAGTATTTAAGTTAAGAAACAAAAATTAACGATGTTTGATATGAAGCGAGAGTAGCTGCTGCTAATAGAGTTTGACAACCGCTGTTTTGTCGATGGGGAAAATCGCAGTTTTGTGTTTGAAATTTAAAGAAGCTTTCACGAAAATTTCGGGCCGCAAATAAGTTGAGTTCACTGGTGTAAACGTTTCATGAGGAGACACTCTTATTTAGGTCATAATTGTTTGGTCATTTTAAAAATAATTTTGTGCTTTAAACACTAAAGTTGATATACAAATTAAATTTACTAATATTTGCAAAAGACAATTTATGGCCCTTAAAAATTGAAGGCCCTGGTTTGCTACCCTGACAGCCCCAACCATATTCCACCACTGAGTTAAAGTTAAAGTGGTAAAAGCAGGGTTATTGAAAAGCTAAGAAGAGGCCAAGTTCTGGTTAAAGTTATTGTAATTTTATGTGAAGCTTGAGTAGAACTGGGGTGAGATAAAACATGTTCAGGTACCTAAATGTTGTAATGGTTCCGTGTGAACTAGGGTGAAATAAAACATGTTCAGGTACCTAAATGTTGTAATGGTTCCGTGTGAACTAGGGTGAAATAAAACATGTTCAGGTACCTAAATGTTGTAATGGTTCCGTGTGAACTAGGGTGAAATAAAACATGTTCAAGTACCTAAATGTTGTAATGGTTCCGTGTGAACTAGGGTGAAATAAAACATGTTCAAGTACCTAAATGTTGTAATGGTTCCGTGTGAACTAGGGTGAAATAAAACATGTTCAAGTACCTAAATGTTGTAATGGTTCCGTGTGAACTAGGGTGAAATAAAACATGTTCAAGTACCTAAATGTTGTAATGGTTCCGTGTGAACTAGGGTGAAATAAAACATGTTCAGGTACCTAAATGTTGTAATGGTTCCGTGTGAACTAGGGTGAAATAAAACATGTTCAGGTACCTAAATGTTGTAATGGTTCCGTGTGAACTAGGGTGAAATAAAACATGTTCAAGTACCTAAATGTTGTAATGGTTCCGTGTGAACTAGGGTGAGATAAAACATGTTCAGGTACCTAAATGTTGTAATGGTTCCGTGTGAACTAGGGTGAAATAAACATGTTCAGGTACCTAAATGTTGTAATGGTTCCGTGTGAACTAGGGTGAAATAAACATGTTCAGGTACCTAAATGTTGTAATGGTTCCGTGTGAACTAGGGTGAAATAAAACATGTTCAGGTACCTAAATGTTGTAATGGTTCCGTGTGAACTAGGGTGAAATAAACATGTTCAGGTACCTAAATGTTGTAATGGTTCCGTGTGAACTAGGGTGAAATAAACATGTTCAGGTACCTAAATGTTGTAATGGTTCCGTGTGAACTAGGGTGAAATAAACATGTTCAGGTACCTAAATGTTGTAATGGTTCCGTGTGAACTAGGGTGAAATAAAACATGTTCAGGTACCTAAATGTTGTAATGGTTCCGTGTGAACTAGGGTGAAATAAACATGTTCAGGTACCTAAATGTTGTAATGGTTCCGTGTGAACTAGGGTGAAATAAAACATGTTCAGGTACCTAAATGTTGTAATGGTTCCGTGTGAACTAGGGTGAAATAAAACATGTTCAGGTACCTAAATGTTGTAATGGTTCCGTGTGAACTAGGGTGAAATAAAACATGTTCAAATACTAAATGTTGTAATGGTTCCGTGTGAACTAGGGTGAAATAAAACATGTTCAAGTACCTAAATGTTGTAATGGTTCCGTGTGAACTAGGGTGAAATAAACATGTTCAGGTACCTAAATGTTGTAATGGTTCCGTGTGAACTAGGGTGAAATAAAACATGTTCAAGTACCTAAATGTTGTAATGGTTCCGTGTGAACTAGGGTGAAATAAAACATGTTCAGGTACCTAAATGTTGTAATGGTTCCGTGTGAACTAGGGTGAAATAAACATGTTCAGGTACCTAAATGTTGTAATGGTTCCATGTGAACTAGGGTGAAATAAAACATGTTCAGGTACCTAAATGTTGTAATGGTTCCGTGTGAACTAGGGTGAAATAAAACATGTTCAGGTACCTAAATGTTGTAATGGTTCCGTGTGAACTAGGGTGAAATAAAACATGTTCAAATACTAAATGTTGTAATGGTTCCGTGTGAACTAGGGTGAAATAAAACATGTTCAAGTACCTAAATGTTGTAATGGTTCCGTGTGAACTAGGGTGAAATAAACATGTTCAGGTACCTAAATGTTGTAATGGTTCCGTGTGTTATAAGGGGTCGTAAGGTTGGGATCTAAGGTCGGCAGTCAGCACCATTGGATCTCGTTGCCTTGACAACCATGGGATCTCGTTGTCATGACAACCACGTTAGTTATTTATTGATATACGTGTCTGTCACGTGTCAATCATCTTTACGTCTGTTTCTAGGAAAATGTCAGTCTAAAGACCTTGAACTTGGCCTTCAACTCGTTCAGCCGAGGTGTGTGCGAGAAACCGTTTGACGCTCTGAGCCAGGCCATCTCTGCCAACAGGTGTCTGACCCACCTGAACGTGTCCAGCAACAGGCTCACAGACCTGGACTTTCTCGTGCTGGCCAGGGCCATCAAGGACAACGAGAGTCTCCAGACACTCAAGGTACGGCAGGTGTGTGGCAGGTGTATGGCAGGTGTGTGGCAGGTGTATGGCAGGTGTGTGGCAGGTGTGTGGCAGGTGTGTGGCAAGTGTGTGGCAGGTGTGTGGCAGGTGTGTGACAGGTATGTGGCAGGTGTGTGGCAGGTGTATGGCAGGTGTGTGGCAGGTGTGTGGCAGGTGTGTGGCAGGTGTGTGGCAGGTGTGTGGCAGGTGTGTGACAGGTTTGTGGCAGGTGTGTGGCAGGTGTATGGCAGGTGTGTGGCAGGTGTGTGGCAGGTGTGTGGCAGGTGTGAGGCAGATGTGTGGCACGTGTGTGGCAGGTGTGTGGCGGGTGTGTGGCAGGTGTGTGGCAGGTGTGTGGCAAGTGTGTGGCAGGTGTGTGACAGGTATGTGGCAGGTGTGTGGCAGGTGTATGGCAGGTGTGTGGCAGGTGTGTGGCAGGTGTGTGGCAGGTGTGTGGCAGGTGTGTGGCAGGTGTGTGGCACGTGTGTAGCAGGTGTGTGGCACGTGTGTGGCAGGTGTGTGGCAGGTGTGTGGCAGGTGTGTGGCAGGTGTGTGGCACGTGTGTGGCAGGTGTGTGGCACGTGTGTGGCAGGTGTGTGGCAGGTGTGTGGCAGGTGTGTGGCACGTGTGTGGCAGGTGTGTGGCACGTGTGTGGCAGGTGTGTGGCAGGTGTGTTGCACGTGTGTGGCACGTGTGTGGCAGGCGTTTGGTAGGTGTGTTGCAGGTTTGTGGCAGGTGTGTGGCAGGTGTATGACAGGTGTGTGGCAGGTGTATGGCAGGTGTATGGCAGGTGTATGGCAGGAGTGTGGCAGGTGTATGGCAGGTGTGCGGGTCATTGGCAGGTGTGGCAGGTGTATGGCAGGTGTGTGGCAGGTGTGTAGGTCATTGACAGTTGTGGTTTGTTTATAGCAGGTATGAGGCAGGTGTGAGGCAGGTGTATGGCAGGTGTGTGGTAGGTGTATGGCAAGTGTATGGCATGTATGTGGGTCATTGGCAGGCGTGGCAGGTTATGGCAAGTGTGTGGCACGTATGTGGCAGGTGTGTGGCAGGTGTGTGGCAGGTGTGTGGCAGGAGTGTGGGTCATTGGCAGGTGTGTAGGTCATTGACAGTTGTGGTACATTTATAGCAGGTGTGAGGCAGGTGTATGACAAGTGTGTGGCAGGTGTATGGCAGATGTATGGCAGGTGTGTGGCAGATGTATGGCAGGTGTGTGGCAGGTGTATAAGGCTAGTGCATAAGTCACGTTAGACGTTCTCCACACATAGTTCAATGCTAGAAATGTTCATTGGTGACGTCATCCACAGGTCGGTGAAAATCTGGCCACTGCCAAGGCCGCAGCAGCTCTGATATCTGCCATTTTATTGGCTGAGAACAGCGGGATTAAACTCCTGGATTTAGGGGTGGGTTATTGACGTGGTTATGTGTCTTGTTCATACATTTAGGGGTAGGTCACTGACGTGGTTATGTGTCTTGTTCATACATTTAGGGGTAGGTCACTGACGTGGTTGTGTGTCTTGTTCATACATTTAGGGGTAGGTCATTGACGTGGTTATGTGTCTTGTTCATACATTTAGGGGTAGGTCATTGACGTGGTTATGTGTCTTGTTCATACATTTAGGGGTAGGTCACTGACGTGGTTGTGTGTCTTGTTCATACATTTAGGGGTAGGCCGTTGACGTGGTTATGTGTCTTGTTCATACATTTAGGGGTAGGTCATTGACGTGGTTATGTGTCTTGTTCACACACAGGTGTTAGCCATTCTTTTCCATGTTCTGTTTCGAGGTTATAATTATGTTATCTCCCTTCTATTTGTTATCTCCCTTCTATTTGTTATCTCCCTTCTATTTGTTATCTCCCTTCTATTTGTTATCTCTCTTCTATTTGTTATCTCTCTTCTATTTGTTATCTCTCTTCTATTTGTTATCTCCCTTCTATTTGTTATCTCCCTTCTATTTGTTATCTCCCTTCTATTTGTTATCTCTCTTCTATTTGTTATCTCTCTTCTATTTGTTATCTCTCTTCTATTTGTTATCTCTCTTCTATTTGTTATCTCTCTTCGATTTGTTATCTCCCTTCTATTTGTTATCTCTCTTCTATTTGTTATCTCTCTTCTATTTGTTATCTCTCTTCTATTTGTTATCTCTCTTCTATTTGTTATCTCTCTTCTATTTGTTATCTCTCTTCTATTTGTTATCTCTCTTCTATTTGTTATCTCTCTTCTATTTGTTATCTCTCTTCGATTTGTTATCTCCCTTCTATTTGTTATCTCTCTTCTATTTGTTATCTCTCTTCTATTTGTTATCTCTCTTCTATTTGTTATCTCTCTTCTATTTGTTATCTCTCTTCTATTTGTTATCTCTCTTCTATTTGTTATCTCTCTTCTATTTGTTATCTCTCTTCTATTTGTTATCTCTCTTCTATTTGTTATCTCTCTTCGATTTGTTATCTCTCTTCTATTTGTTATCTCTCTTCTATTTGTTATCTCTCTTCTATTTGTTATCTCTCTTCGATTTGAACTCTGTTCTCATCCCAGATGATCCCAACTATCCCAAATCATTTGCTGGTCATTTGGTGCACGGCGGTTGGTCACGTGACACAAACGTTGTGGTAGAAACTGGTGCAAGACGTCCAAACGTTTCTGGTAGCCGTAGGTGACGTCCTCGGCTAACCTTACGTGACGTCATCGGCTAACCATACGTGACGTCATCGGCTAACGTTTGATCTCATTTCTCTTCAGGATTTACCCGTGCCGAAACCAAGCCTTGAAGACATCACAGCATTGGAAGCTCGTGGGGTCAAGGTCGTGTACGGCAGTGTGCACCAGCGAGAAACAGACTTTGACCCGGAAGCTAAAAGACCGGAGGCCGCGCCTAACGAGGATGCCGAGCCGAGTTCCAGAGCCGAAACACGAGCAGAGGACGGTGCCAGAAGGGTGGAGGTCGTCCGGGGCGAGAGTGCGGGCGTCAGGGCGCTGGGCGTGACGGAGGGTGGTGATACAGTAACAGCACCTGGTGACGCCACACCTCGTGACTCAACTCCTGCCGACATGAATGAGTCAGGGGTCACAGAGGGGGGTCAGGGTGGCAGCGAGGGTTTATATCAAGAGATTTCTGCTCCTGACCTGACTCTTAGCTCTGACCTTGACCCCGAGATAAACTCTGAACCGGCCATGAACTCTGACCCTGAGCCGACCATGAACTCTGACCCTGAAGTCTCTGGGCCAGGGCCAGTTGATCAAAAGTCTGACCCACAGGGGTCTGCAGACGGGGAATCGACGGGGGTCGCAGGCACTGAGGCTCACGTGTCAGACAGTGGCGACAATGGTGCGACAAGTGACCTTCAGACTGACCAGACTGACCTTCAGACCGACCTTCAGACTGACCAGACTGACCTTCAGAGTGACACTCAGGCTGACCAACAGACTGACCAACAGACTGACCAACAGACGGACCAACAGACTGACCAACAGACTGACCAACAGACTGACCAACAGAATCACTAGCAAGATGACACTAAACTTGATTAATAAGATCTCCAGATGATTTGTACATCGCGACATGCAAGTTTACGATCATCAGAACAAAAACAACATCCATACAACAACATCCACACAACAACTATTACACAACCACAACCAGAACAACATCCACACAACAACTATTACACAACCACAACCAGAACAACATCAACACAACAACTATTACACAACCACAACCACAACAACATCCGCCACCACACCACACTCACATACACCCACTTCCACCCTCAGAGCTTGCTATTTGTGTGTGTGTGTGTGTGTGTTCGTGGGTAAAGGGACCATTGTTTTTACACATGTTATATTGTAAATATTTTGTGTCGAATAAAAACTTGTTTAAATAAATTATTTTTAAGATCACAAATCTTGTATGAATAAATTATGTTAAATATATCAAAACATGTTTGGATAAATTATGTTGAGTCTCTGAAATCAACCGAAACAGACTGCGCACCATATTAAACAATGCCCCATATCAGACTGTGCACCGTATGAAAACAGTGCACCATATAAGACTGCGCACCATATTAAAATAATGCACCAAACAGCACGGTCGCTGGGAGGGTTGAACCTTGACCTCTTGGATAAGTAAACAAACAATGAACTCCGTGACCAATGTTTTGGTTGTCTAGGGATAGCTTGAAGGAAACAGCCAAACGGTACACTTTTAAGTTGGCTAACTTTGAGGAAGGTAAACATTGAATTTTCTAGAGGTGGCCTGGTATTAACGGTGTGTCTGAAGATGGCCTTGTTTTATGGCCAATTGGCCCATTGTTGGTCGCTACAAATGGGCCGGTAGTATGGCCAAGTGGTTCGCTACAAATGTGTAGCTAGTATGGCCAAGTGGTTCGCTACAAATGTGTAGCTAGTATGGCCAAGTAGTTCGCTACAAATGTGTAGCTAGTATGGCCAACTGGTTCGCTACAAATGTGTAGCTAGTATGGCCAAGTGGTTCGCTACAAATGTGTAGCTAGTATGGCCAAGTGGTTCGCTACAAATGTGTAGCTAGTATGGCCAAGTGGTTCGCTACAAATGTGTAGCTAGTATGGCCAAGTGGTTCGCTACAAATGTGTAGCTAGTATGGCCAAGTGGTTCGCTACAAATGTGTAGCTAGTATGGCCAAATGGTTCGCTACAAATGTGTAGCTAGTATGGCCAAGTGGTTCGCTACAAATGTGTAGCTAGTATGGCCAAGTGGTTCGCTACAAATGTGTAGCTAGTATGGCCAAGTGGTTCGCTACAAATGTGTAGCTAGTATGGCCAAGTGGTTCGCTACAAATGTGTAGCTAGTATGGCCAAGTGGTTCGCTACAAATGTGTAGCTAGAATGGCCAAGTGTTACACTATAAATAGGTTGGTAGTATAGTCCCGAATAAAGCAAACAATTTGTTAAAAAATTAATGCAGGTAAAGATATGAATAAAGAGAGGTAATTTTAAAGTTGTTTTTTTTAAGTTACCTACCTTAGTACCAAAGAAAGAAAATAGAGAGAGTTTCTTAATTAGAAAAAGAATTCAGTTTTCAAATATAAATGTTTTAATTTTTAAGAACTATGAAATTTGTCGTACTATTTAATATTTTAAAAAATTAAGTTAGATATTGTAAATCTCTAAAAAAAAATTCAAGTTGTATCATATTCTCATTATTTTAGCTTTGTTCTAAACATGTAATTAGGAAAACTATATTAGGTAAGCATGTGATTATGAAAACTATATTAGGTAAGCAAACATTATTTTATATTTTTTGCATGATATGTTGTGATACATGTCACTCAGCAGTGAATAGTGAGACGCCTGAGTCAGCAGTGAATAGTGAGACGCCTGAGTCAGCAGTGAATAGTGAGACGCCTGAGTCAGCAGTGAATAGTGAGACGCCTGAGTCAGCAGTGACGCCTGAGTCAGCAGTGACGCCTGAGTCAGCAGTGAATAGTGAGACGCCTGAGTCAGCAGTGACGCCTGAGTCAGCAGTGAATAGTGAGACGCCTGAGTCAGCAGTGACGCCTGAGTCAGCAGTGACGCCTGAGTCAGCAGTGAATAGTCAGACGCCTGAGTCAGCAGTGAGTGGCCAGACGCCTGAGTCAGCAGTGACGCCTGAGTCAGCAGTGAGTGGCCAGACGCCTGAGTGGCCAACATGCTGCTGACCGAGGCCAACAGACAGACCCTCCTGATGGCCATCACTATCATGGCCCTGGTCTGTTTCTTCTCCTCCTTCCTCCTCTTCATCTCGGCCGCCTACATCAAGCTGACCATCGACTCCCAGATGCGCCTTATCGAGACCTACAACAGTGACGTCCTGCCCGCCATCTTCATCTTCGTGGGTATCCTAAACCTGCTGCAGAACGGTGCGCTCGTCTTCGTCAGCTTCAAACTGATGAACGTAGACAACAGGTGAGTGGGGCTATTGGTCAGCTTCAGTGGACAACAGGTAAGTGGGGCCCATGGTCAGCTTCAGTGGACAAAAGGTGAGTGGGGCCCATGGTCAGCTTCAGTGGACAACAGGTAAGTGGGGCCCATGGTCAGCTTCAGTGGACAACAGGTGAGTGGGGCCCATGGTCAGCTTCAAACTGTGGACAACAGGTGAGTGGGGCCCATGGTCAGCTTCAAACTGTGGACAACAGGTGAGTGGGGCCCATGGTCAGCTTCAAACTGTGGACAAAAGGTGAGTTAGGCCATGGTCAGCTTCAGTGGACAACAGGTGAGTGGGGCCCATGGTCAGCTTCAAACTGTGGACAAAAGGTGAGTTAGGCCATGGTCAGCTTCAAACTGTGGACAACAGGTGAGTGGGGCCCATGGTCAGCTTCAAACTGTGGACAAAAGGTGAGTTAGGCCATGGTCAGCTTCAAACTGTGGACAACAGGTGAGTTAGGCCATGGTCAGCTTCAGTGGACAAAAGGTGAGTGGGGCCCATGGTCAGCTTCAGTGGACAAAAGGTGAGTGGGGCCCATGGTCAGCTTCAGTGGACAACAGGTGAGTGGGGCCCATGGTCAGCTTCAGTGGACAAAAGGTGAGTGGGGCCCATGGTCAGCTTCAAACTGTGGACAAAAGGTGAGTGGGGCCCATGGTCAGCTTCAGTGGACAAAAGGTGAGTGGGGCCCATGGTCAGCTTCAAACAGTGGACAACAGGCCCTATAACACATACTGTCACTGACAGATGATATGGTATGCGCCACTTGTCTGCTGCATATTGTGTGATGTCCATAATGTCCCATTGTCTGATAATTTAAATGTCCCATTCTTTAATGTCATAAATGTCCTACTGACTGATGTTTTAAATGTCGTATTGTCTGATCTCCTAAATACCCTACAGACTGATGTTTTAATGTCCTATTGTCTGAAGTCCTCAATGTCCTATCGTCTGATGAGACTCGCCTCCCCAGGGAAGTGTTGATGACGTCACTGATCTTTATTTTGATTGGCGGGATTTTGCTGGTGGTGTTTGAGTTTTGTTCGAGCATCGCCTCCTTCATTCACATCAGCATCCTCAACGCGGAGTTTGGTGAAGGTCTTCATAAGGCCATGAGTCAGTAGGTCTTTTGTAGGTCTTTTGTAGGTCTTTTGTAGGTCTTTTGTAGGTCATTAAGTACACGATTACGTGGGATGGCCTGGCCTAGCGGTATAGATTTCTCAAGTCTCGAGTTCGAATGTTGGTTTAAGTCAGTAGAAAGTTCCCTGAGTCCACTCAGTTCTAATGGGTACCTAACACACGTTAGGGAAAACAAAGACGGCCGGGCATGGTGCTGGCAACTCTTCATATACCAAGGTCTCTGAAACAGATAGACTCTACTTCATCTGCCTCATATGGGCACGAACGGAAAAAGATGATGAGTACATGAGTAGGGAACGGTGTAGTCCAACGCTAGAGCGTTCGATTGCCAACTAGAAGGTCCCGAGTTCGGATCCTGGCAAGAGTCGTAGTACGTCACTGAGTTTACCCAGCTCTGATGAGTACCCGACGCACGTTAGGCACTTAAACAGGTGTGCTCTACTTCACCTGCACCATGGACCAAAGGAGTTGAAACTTTACTTTTATTTTAAGCTGTCACCAGATTTTTGAAGGGATTATGTAGGTTGTGTGTCAGTATTTGAAGACATGAGAAATTAGGTCATTAGTTGATAAAGGTCAAACAATTTTTAAAATTTCATTTTGTAAAGACCTGTATAACAGTTTAACAAAACATTTGTATAGCCCCAATGTTCCAGAACATTTGTATAGCCCCAATGTTCAAGAACATTTGTATGACCCCAATGTACCAGACAGTGGCGTAGCGAGTTCGGGTGTCACCCGGTGCGGCACTTAATGGTGTCACCCCCTCAGAGGTGTAGCGACTCTTCCAAGGGACAAACTTTCAAATTTTCGATTTCCACCCTCCCCCCTAAAATTTTTCTCTATATATTCTACTATTTTTGCCTTGGTGTCACCCCCCCCCCCTAAATGGTGTCACCAGGTCCGGTCCGCCACCCCCCGCCCCCCCCCCTCGCTACGCCTCTGGTGCCAGAACATTTGTATGACCCCAATGTTCTAGAACATTTGTAAGGCCCCAATGTACCAGAACAATTGTATGGCCCCAATGTACCAGAACATTTGTATGGCCCCAATGTACCAGAACATTTGTATGACCCCAATGTACCAGAACATTTGTATGGCCCCAATGTACCAGAACATTTGTATGGCCCCAATGTACCAGAACATTTGTATGGCCCCAATGTACCAGAACATTTGTATGGCCCCAATGTACCAGAACATTTGTATGGCCCCAATGTACCAGAACATTTGTATGGCCCCAATGTACCAGAACATTTGTATGGCCCCAATGTACCAGAACATTTGTATGGCCCCAATGTACCAGAACATTTGTATGACCCCAATGTACCAGAACATTTGTATGGCCCCAATGTACCAGAACATATGTATGGCCCCAATGTACCAGAACATTTGTATGACCCCAATGTTCTAGAACATTTGTAAGGCCCCAATGTACCAGAACATTTGTATGACCCCAATGTACCAGAACATTTGTATGACCCCAATGTACCAGATCATTTGTATGGCCCCAATGTACCAGAAACATTTGTATGGCCCCAATGTACCAGAGCATTTGTATGAACCCTATAGTCCCAATGTTCCAGAACATTTGTATGGCCCCCAATGTACCAGAACATTTGTATGGCCCCAATGTACCAGAACATTTGTATGACCCCAATGTACCAGAACATTTGTATGGCCCCAATGTTCCAGAACATTTGTATGACCCCAATGTACCAGAACATTTGTATGGCCCCAATGTACCAGAGCATTTGTATGAACCCTATAGTCCCAATGTTCCAGAACATTTGTATGGCCCCAATGTACCAGAACATTTGTATGGCCCCAATGTACCAGAGCATTTGTATGAACCCTATAGTCCCAATGTTCCAGAACATTTGTATGGCCCCAATGTACCAGAACATTTGTATGGCCCCAATGTTCTAGAACATTTGTAAGGCCCCAATGTACCAGAGCATTTGTATGAACCCTATAGTCCCAATGTTCCAGAACATTTGTATGGCCCCAATGTACCAGAACATTTGTATGGCCCCAATGTTCTAGAACATTTGTATGACCCCAATGTACCAGAACATTTGTATGGCCCCAATGTACCAGAACATTTGTATGACCCCAATGTACCAGAACATTTGTATGACCCCAATGTACCAGAACATTTGTATGGCCCCAATGTACCAGAACATTTGTATGGCCAACTGGTTCTATGGTTCATGCAGGTTTTATTGAGCCGTAGAACTGGTTGGTGACCCACTTACTAGCCCTATTGCTACAGGTACATCGAGGGCAAGGAGATGAAGCGAGAGATGGATTCTGTACAAATCCAGTACAAATGTTGCGGGGACAAAAGTTACGTCGACTGGTTCCGTTACGCCTGGATGGAGTCGGACACTCTGAGGACAGTCGGGGTCAGCATTAAAAAGTAGGTCAAGGTTGAATGCCTATTGAGGTCAGTCGTATGTGTGTAGGTCAGTCATGTGTCTGTAGATCTAATGTCTGTAGGTCATATGTCTGTAGGTCATGTTGCTGAGACCAACTTGAAACTTGAGAGATGTTAGAAAATCTTACAAGGGGAATCTACTCAATAAATAAATTAAGACAAATTCATCCTCGCTTGGTTATATCCCCTTAAGGAAGGTCAAACAGTAGTGTATCCCATCTCCACGGTAAACGAGATGAACCCCGTAGAAGTTTCAGGTGGGATCTGGTTCGTGTTACTTATCACGTGACTAGGGTGAAAATGTTTTGTGTGACACCATTTTATGGAACAATTGTGGCTTTAAGGGCCGACAAAGCGACATGTTTTTACGTTGGACGTTATTTTTGAAGCCCCGCCCACTTCTACGTCATACACAGACCTGATTGAGAAACTCATTTAATCTATGAATTACCCCCAGGTACCTCCACACTGACGGCAAATACTACAGTGACGACACGCCGTTCAGCTGCTGTGACGTCAAGGCGCCCCGCCCCTGCGTCCACCACCACATCCACGACAACAAGCGCCACCACAGCTACAACTTCAACATCGAGACCACGCTCTACGTCAGCGGCTGTAGGGCCGCCCTTATGTCCGTATATGGCAAGGTGCTGCTCACTGTAGGACTCATAGCCCTCATCATAGCTTGTGTTAAAGTAAGTCTCATGGGCCCCCACCTTCATAGCTTGTGTTAAAGTAAGTCTCATGGGCCCCCACCTTCACAGCTTGTGTTAAAGTCTCATGGGCCCCCACCTTCATAGCTTGTGTTAAAGTCTTGTGGGCCCCCACCTTCATAGCTTGTGTTAAAGTAAGTCTCATGGGCCCCCACCTTCACAGCTTGTGTTAAAGTAAGTCTCATGGGCCCCCACCTTCATAGCTTATGTTAAAGTAAGTCTCATGGGCCCCCACCTTCACAGCTTGTGTTAAAGTAAGTCTTGTGGGCCCCCACCTTCATAGCTTGTGTTAAAGTAAGTCTCATGGGCCCCCACCTTCACAGCTTGTGTTAAAGTCTCATGGGCCCCCACCTTCATAGCTTGTGTTAAAGTCTTGTGGGCCCCCACCATCATAGCTTGTGTTAAAGTCTTGTGGGCCCCCACCTTCATAGCTTGTGTTAAAGTAAG